ATGCTGATGCTTTTGAACAAGCTGCAGCGGCTGAACCCTGGCAGCGCGTAACTGAGCGAATTCTAGTGCTATCGGTGTTTGGAGGCGCAGACCACCTACTACTCGGAGGTATCGATGTGCCAACCGCCAATTATAGGCAATCAGTAGCCTTATTTGTGTTGTACGATATATTCAACAACCCTGGTATCGATACTTATGTTTTATTGTAAGTGACTTACGTTGAAAATTTAATTGTCCCATAGCACCCTAATAAGGGCTCAATAATCTGATAGTAGCTTGAGTGTCGGCTTTTGAATAAATCAGTTGGTGTGTTAATCCTGTTTCTAAAATAAGCTACCCAACGCTCTAACTTTTCCGCGCGTGATGCTAGGCGCAATCTGGCAACACTGTCGTGTCTGTCGGCTCCACCACCACCGATCCCATCAAGAGGCGCCTATCGGCGATGCTCAGTACCTAGATAGAAAAATAGGTGAAAGATCAACGTTTCCAATGGTAATTCGTTTTTTCAAATCATTTTCTTGTGCCTGAAAAAAATGTGGTAACCCTATTTTTGAGACTACCCTTTAACCCGAGCGTGACATCTGTTTTTTTTTTAATGACCTATGTATCAAATGTTCTTGTGGACAATAAATCCAAAATAATTGAACATATAATTTAACTCGTGGTATGGGAGTTGATATACAACTGTACAAACCTAGTAAACACTGTGGAGATTGTATAATTTTAGGAACACACCCACGTCATCGAAACAGACAGAACTGTTGCTAAATGAAAACCTTAATTGGATAACGCTACAGCAAGATGCCCTCTGGGTAATTAACATGAACATAAGGATCGGAGACAATAGGAGGTTGAGGCACAAACCCTCCTCCGAGACGTAACCACCTAAATTAAATAATATGTGTGACGCTCATGCGTCACATATGACAAAGGATTGAGGATTCCAGCCTGATAGACTGACGAAATTACGTTCAGTCCGGAGACATTTTTTTTTGCCAAAGGAAACCGAATATATCTGAACGATCCTTTACTATCGTTTCTGACTTTGCGTCGGCCTTTTCCAAAATACAGATAGAAATGACGTTGACAATAATAGCTATTTTTATCTGTCTTTCCATTTTTTCACCGCTACCAGACAGTGTGGTGCAACAACAGCCTGAGTGGTCCTCTAGCGCGTAAAGCTATCATTACAGTTTTAAAATGGCACATCACAAGCCCAACAAAGTCTAGGACTGCCTGAGGTAAGCGATGGTGACGTGTCTGCTACATTTAAAACAACAGATAGCTGGGGGGGATGGGCGTTTTTTGGGGCGTTACACCAGGTTATGCTGGGTTTGTGCGGTGCCATTTCAAAATTAGAATGTTTGTTTTATGCTATCGCGACATGATACAACACTGTTAGGCCACCGAGGTTTCTAAAACGTTAGTAAAAAGTCGCTCGTACATACTCGTATGTTTCATTTGGCCAGAAAAACATGGAGTTTCAAAAGTCCCAGTATTCTAAAGAGATTTATACGGTTTTCTCCACAGCACTCTTTCATGAGCTCTGTTACTTGCCTAAGTTCTGATAGATCATTTTCCTGTTATGGGGATCCAAATCCATTCTTTGATCGACTATTTCATGTGTTCTCTAGCCAGAGCAAAGAAGGATCTATGACTTGTTTCTATCGTTTCTGCTTATGAAATATGTGGAGTTATGTGAGGCGTCCTTTTCAATATCCGACTTAACATGGAGAGAAGTTTAAGTTTATATGTGTAAGCTTTTCCAGACCCTCTCAGGCAAAGCTCGATAGTATTGCCCTTTCGGTCTCTCCTGTTCGAAGTGCGAGATTCTCTAGTCGTTCATTATATCTCTCAGAACTGTAACGCCCGCTGCATTTCGCATGTTTGGCAGCGTTGCTTCGTTTTCATACCAAAGGTATTTAGTCATCTTATTGTCAGCATCATGCATAATAGGAACCTATTGTTGTTCAGATGTGACCTAGGGTGGACATTTTTTTGACCCGGAACGTCAATGGTCGAGGCTGGGCTGAAAAATAAAATTTTCGACTGCCATGCAAGAGCTGTCTAAGCGCTGATCTTACCTTGATGATAGGGGTCAGTTTCAGGGTAACCAGTACAAAGCCAGGAAAAAAGTATCTGCTGTCCTTAGGCTGTTATTTTAGCTTTGTCTTCAAGGCGATCAGAATTCTTTCCAAACAAGGTATTTCATGATGACATCGACCAGTATGGGTATCATGTAAAATACCCATAAGATATCATCTTTGAAACTAGGTAGTTTTTAGGACGCAAGCGGTCATTCAACGTTTGCTCACCAGGATCATTGTGAACGTCCATCTAAGGAGGAATCACTCAACTAAACTACACGCATTATTGGTTGCATATGTTTTGTGAGGCCAAATGGTCCTTGTCTGTAGTTTTTATCTCTGAGAAGAAAGTTGATTGAATAGCAAGATCGCATCTGGATCAGTGATATTTGATGTGTGAGAAAATCATTACTGAATATGCTGCCAATGAAGTATATCTATTGACTGTGCGCGACGGGTTATTTTTATGTTGTGCTTTCTGAAGAGAGGTTATGTTCAAAGTTATAAATTACGAAAAACTAAGGAGAATTACAGGAAATCATCACTGCGCCCGCGTTGTGTGCAATTACTGTTTGCATGTATACTAAGTGACATATAAATCCGAACACCCAGTTTAAATGGTTTTATTTTAATAAAAGTTGGTGAATGTATTTATCTTACTGTAAATAACAAGTGAACAAATTTTCAGCCTTATCAGTTGGACATTCCGGTTTTTATACTGCTTTTTTTTTAATTCACTAACGCTCTAAAAATGAATATTTCAGCCGCAGTAAAGAATCAACGTTGGCGGATTTTGGTTCTTGAAATCCTTTACGATCGGTTACGATACCTAGAGTACGGAGACCTGTACGTTTTCGTCAACTTAGTGAGTTTGATAGGGGCCGTATAGTGGGAGTTCGGGAAGCTGGACTTTCTTTTCTGGCAATTGCAGTTAGAGTGCAAAGAAGTGTAGACACTGTGGTTAGGTGTTGTCAGGCATGGCTTCGAGAAGGCCGTACGCAAAGAGCAAGGGGCACTGAGGCCGCCGTAGAACAACAGACCGAGAAGATCGCCGCCTAAGATTATCGGCCTTAAGGGACCGTTTCTCCACTACCAGGTCCATTGCAAATGAATGGTTTGCAGAACACGGAAGACCTATTGGCATGCGAAGTGTTTACCGACGAATGAGAAGTTTTGGCTTGTTTTCAAACCGGTCACACTGGGTCCTCCCTTTAACTCGAGAACACCGACGTAATCGCCTTGAGTGGTGCAGACAACGGTCACTCTGGGATCAGGAATGGAACAGTATTGTCTTTAGTGACGAGTCTCGATTTTGTTTAGGCATGCACGATGGTCGTGCCAGGGTTACAAGGCGACGTGGTGAAAGGAGGAATCCACAGTTTTTTGTTGAAAGACATGTTCATCACACTGTTGGAGTTATGGTTTGGCGTGCTATAGCTTATGGTTCCAGGTCACCTTTAATCTTCATCAGAGGTAACATGAACGCGCGGCGTTATATCCACGGAGTTCTAGAACCCCATCTTTTACCCTATCTTGACACCCTGGCAGATCCAACTTTCCAACAAGATACTGCCCGACCACATGTTGCAAGAGTCACAATAGACTTCTTTCAACATAATGATGTCACATTGTTACCATGGCCACCAAGATCTCCCGACTTATCCCCAATGGAGCACGTGTGGGATATGATGGGTAGCAGATTGCTCAATTTGCAACGTCGTCCTCAGACTCTAGAAGCACTTCGAGAGGAGTTGGTGGTTGCCTGGAATGAGATGCCTCAGGAAGACATTGACCACCTGATCAGAAGCATGCCTAGGCGCGTTGGAGAATGCGTATCACATCAGGGTGCATCCACACATTATTAAAGTCAAAGGGCTTTAAAGCAGTGCAATCATTTTGAAATTTTTATCATTTACTTATTATGCTTCATTAAGTACTTATGCAAAATTTTATTAAAATAAAACCATTTAAACTGGGTGTTCGGATTTATATGTCACTTAGTATATATGGTTTGTACAGTGAATTTAATTATTTCTTATCTCTCTCATTTTTTAAATTCCGCAAATTAGTATATGTAATTTCCAGAATGGCTAAGAAAAAGTGGATGCGCAACTAATTTCTAGCTTTGAATCTCAATTAAGTGTATTTGAGACAAGAACCCAATGTAATTATTATCAACACATATAACTTATAGCTTAGACCTCCAGTAATGCCATCTCAGAAGCAGATTTTACATCACATCAGAGCCAAAGGTTAACCACAAGCCTCATGACGTGTAGGCAGCACGTAAAACTAAGTGCTGAGTTAAAATCTTGTGGAAAAACCTACATAATATCAAAAAAAGCATAGTGTAAAAAAATCGGCATAATGTCACTTTTCAAGATAAGTGATACCCGTGCCGGTCAAGGTGAAATTAATGTTCATCAAAAATTATGAGCAGGAAATTTTCCTCAACCATGGGTAGATGATACCAGTCAAAAATGACATGACATTGATTCCACCTCGAATGTCATGGTAAGAGTCAGTATGAGGGTCATCAATAAATAGTTTGAGGAACATTTGAACCCCTGCTGTACCTCCGGAGACGGAACCTTATCAAACGAAACCCTTCCAAAATGACCATAACTAGAACGTCAAAATAGTTTTCATGCATTGTCAGTTTACGAGGTCAAAACTATAGAGTCTCATTGAAAAAAGTCGTCTGGACTTTGAATTGAGCTTCAATGTTATGTTCAAGGTCAAATCCAATGACACCATCGAATAGACGGGGAAACATCGTGCCATTGCTATTATACTATCACTATACCTGTTGGATATTCTTAAGCATCTTGTCATTCCAAGACTATTGGAATACCCAGTGGAATCTGTGTAAAATGTTGCCAAGTCGAAACAGAATCACCCTAAAATGTTGTTTCCTTTGTTTCAGACGGTGTCATCAGTTTTCGAATTGCGCGATGAGCTCCTAGAATGGCAACCGAGTACTGTTCCGAGGAGCCGTATGGCAACTTTTCCACCATCTTCGGCACGACTGACATACCCGAATGGGAAGCTGTCATCACCATCGTTACACTCACGTTTTTCATCCTGCTAACTATAATAGGCAATATTTTGGTGAGTACATTAATAAAAATGATCAAGGTGTGGATCAACAACTGTAAAAATGCGTTGGACCCTAGAACAGAATCAGATATTACGTTTCACAATATTCAGATCGGAATCCCTGTGGTCTTACACTGCTAATACTAGCGTGATGTTTTGACGTGGTCTAACTAAATTAATCTGTAATAATTGAAATTGGCAGTGGCTAGTTTCGTACTTACGTACGTACGACAACAAAATCAAGTACCAAAAAATTTCCAAAGGCTTTAATTACTCCCAAATAAATCCCCCAGAAAAGTATGGCCTCCAAAACGTTTAGAATAGATACGAGAATGTCATCAATCTGGTGAAAAATCACCAAATACTCTTACGATTTTGTTTTTATCCGTGCAAGACTAACTAAACAAAAATCTCAACCCTTATAGTTTTATTTAATTGCAGCACGACAAGACATAAAAATTACTGCTCCCGATCGCGCTAGTATTGATCATTTCAGGATAAGACCATAAAAGCCATTTGAGTCTGGCAACAATATAAACCACCGGTTGCCGCTACTGCGAAGTATAACCAAAGAGTAGTTATACTAAGTGACATATAAATCCGAACACCCAGTTTAAATGGTTTTATTTTAATAAAATTTTGTATAAGTACTTAATGAAGCATAATAAGTAAATGATAAAAATTTCAAAATGATTGCACTGCTTTAAAGCCCTTTGACCTTTAATAATGTGTGGATGCACCCTGATGTGCTACGCATTCTCCAACGCGCCTAGGCATGTTTCTGATCAGGTGGTCAATGTCCTCCTGTGGTATCTCATTCCAGGCAACCACCAACTCCTCTCGAAGTGCTTCTAGAGTGTGAGGAGGACGTTGCTAATTGAGCAATCTCCTACCCATCATATCCCACACGTGCTCAATTGGGGATAAGTCGGGAGATCTTGGTGGGCATGGTAACAATGTGACATCATTATGTTGAAAGAAGTCTATTGTGACTCTTGCAACATGTGGTCGGGCATTATCTTGTTGGAAAGTTGGATCTGCCAGGGTGTCAAGATAGGGTAAAAGATCGGGTTCTAGAACTTCGTGGATATAACGCTGCGCGTTCATGTTAGCTCTGATGAAGATTAAAGGTGACCTGGAACCATAAGCTATAGCACCCCAAACCATAACTCCAACAGTGTGATGAACATGTCTTTCAACAAAAAACTGTGGATTTCTCCTTTCACCACGTCGCCTTCTAACCCTAGCACGACCATCGTGCATGCCTAAACAAAATCGCGACTCGTCACTAAAGACAATACTGTCTGCACCACTCAAGGCGATTACGTCTGTGTTCTCGACTTAAAGGGAGGACCTAGTGTGGCCGGTATGAAAACAAGCCAAAACTTCTCATTCGTCGGTAAACACTTCGCATGCCAATAGGTCTTCCGTGTTCTGCAAACCATTCATTTGCAATGGACCTGGTATTGGAGAAACGGTCCCTTAAGGCCAATAATCTTAGGCTGCGATCTTCACGGTCTGTTGTTCTACGGCGGCGTCCAGTGCCCCTTGCTCTTTGCGTACGGCCTTCTCGAAGCCATGCCTGATAACACCTAACCACAGTGTCTACACTTCTTTGCACTCTAACTGCAATTGCCCGAAAAGAAAGTCCAGCTTCCCGAAGTCCCACTATCAAACTCACTAAGTTGACGAAATCGTACAGGTCTCCGTACTCTAGGCATCGTAACCGATCGTAAAGGATGTCAAGAACCAAAATCCGCCAACGTTGATTCTTTACTGCGGCTGAAATATTCATTTTTAGAGCGTTAGTGAATTAAAAAAAAGCAGTATGAAAACCGGAATGTCCAACTGATAGGGCTGAAAATTTTTTCACTTGTTATTTACAGTAAGATAAATACATTCACCAGCTTTTATTAAAATAAAACCATTTAAACTGGGTGTTCGGATTTATAAGTCACTTAGTATATAATCGCAACACAAACTTCTCAATTAAGGTGAATGTGCATTCCTTTTTAAGCCGTCGCTAAGAGATTTAGGTGAAAGTGTAAAAGCTTTCTTATTCCATTCGATCTCTACCTTGAAGATAAACAGCTTTCCGTCTCCCCGTGAATTTGAGTTCAGAATTCATTCACTTTAGCAAATTTTCCTAACGACTACAGCATGATGTCATTTAACACGTACGAGCGTGTGGCGTGGCGCTGCCAGCCACTTATGCGTACAACTATACAGGGTGTCTCAGAAGCAATGAACTGTCAACACTGATGGAACATGCGTAACGCGAATTCATTGCGGCTAGAATGAGAAACGAGAAGGATAGCGCTAATCAGGGCAAAACATCGTGGTCCATTGTGGTATTTCGATATATGTTCTAAGGATTTTTGGTGAATGTTTGTTTTTAGTGACGTTAAAGATTAATAGTGATAGTTTGCGACAATTATTATAAATTTTTTTATGCCAGACAGCCTTCAAGAGCTGTTGTTTTATGTGATATTTGTTTAAAAATGGTTGAATCTTGCAGTGCGGTGAATTGTTGCAACAGACGCAGAAAAGATGTGAAAAAGAAGTTTCACATGTTGGTTTGAATCATCTCATTCATTTTTGTGTGAGAATTACCTGTTAATTGGTAATTCGAGAAAATATCTGGATTTTTAGGATACCTACAGATCCTAACATGAGGAAGTTGTGGTTACATGCAATAAGAAGAGAAAACTTTACTCCGAGTACAAAAACGGTAATTTGTGAAAAGCATTTCGCTTCAGAGGATTATGAAGTTAGTATTCATGGAAATAAGGTACTAAAAACGATGCCAGTTCCATCTGTGTTTGATTTTCCAGCCCATCTCAAGAAAGAACCTAGCCATCGAAGGGTTTTGAAAAGAAAACATGAATACATAATTTCTAGAATGAACTATAGTATAACCTATATTATATTATAATGAAAAACTGTCCATCTACAGTATTGTTAATGCCATTGTGCACAAATATTTTGTATACACACACACATATATATATATATATATATATATACAGGGTGTCGGCAAAGTTGGTGTTTTCCTTTTCAGAAACAACTACCCTTGAAATAACAAAGGTAATGTGTAGTGAAACGAGGGCGACCAAGTAAAAAAAAATAAAGGAAAAAGTACTCACTCTCCAGTTGACGAGAAGGGATAAGTACGTCTCTGCCCGAAATCATACCGCTCCAACAGAAAATGAAATCAGCTGATGCGCTACCGAGCAGACGCAGAAACCACATTGATTGTCTTACACTTAATGGCACATCTTCTAACAAGGAAGGCAAAATGTTGCGTAAAAAGTCTAGGTATTGCATCCCGTCCAATAGATTTGGGAGAATAAATGGTCCAATGAGCATACCGTTCACCATGCCAGCCCAAACATTCACCGAAAATGTTTGTATATACAGGGTGTCCGCAAAGTTGTGGTTTTCCTTTACACGACGTGTAGATCTTGAAAACATAAGCAATTTTTCTTAGTACCATATATACCAATGTCTTAAGGGAACCGAGATAAAGGCCTCTGCAACATCAAAAATATCTGAATACCGTCCTGTAGCCACGACATCACCGATTGGTACAAGGTCACTGGCTCAACCCGACAACAGAACTGGGTCGGGGTCAGTGTGTCAGGTCAGTATGCAACCTTCAACCGACGGTTACGGTCACTCGTGTAGAGGTAATCGCGTAGACGAGAATCCCTCAACAAGCACTAGAGATGTGGCTAGAAAGTGCAAGTATCAAAAACTAAAGTGTGGCAAACGCTGCGTGAAGAGGGGCTGTATCCGTTTCACGTCCAACGTGTACAAGCCCTTCAACCTGACGGTTTTCCAGCAAGAGTGCGGTTTTGTGAGTGGTTGTTGCATCAACATGACAATAATCTGGACTTTTTGAAGTGCATATTGGTGACAGACGAATCTACGTTCACGCGTAATGGGGTGAATAACTTTCGCAACACTCATGTTTGGTCAGTAGAAAATCCGCACGCTGTCAGTCGGGCACATTTTCAACAAACATTTGCGGTGAATGTTTGGGCTGGCATGGTGAACGGTATGCTCATTGGACCATTTTTTCTCTCAAATCGATTGGACGGGATGCAATACCTAGACTTTTTACGCAACATTTTGCCTTCCTTGTTAGAAGATCTGCCATTAAGTGTAAGACAATCAATGTGGTTTCTGCGTCTGCTCGGTAGCGCATCAGCTGATTTCATTTTCTGTTGGAGCGGTATGATTTCGGGCAGAGACGTACTTAGCCCTTCTGGTCAACTGGAGAGTGAGTACTTTTTCCTTTATTTTTTTTACTTGGTCGCCCTCGTTTCACTACACATTACCTTTGTTATTTCAAGGGTAGTTGTTTCTGAAAAGGAAAACCCCAACTTTTCGGACACCCTGTATAAATAAAAAAAATTGGTTTTTTAATTATAATTACGTTGCCAGGATTTTATCTCGTTCCAGTTGTCTGAATAAGTTTTAAATCTTCTCTAAGAATCCTCAGTTTCCTATGCAATTCATTCAAGTCCGCGCGCTTTTTGCCCTGACTAGCTCCATCTCTCTCTCGGACCTCTTTGTCGTATGTTGGCCGCATTATCGTTTCATTGTACAAATGGGACGGGGCGATTCCATCAGTGTTGACAGTTCATTGCTCAGAAGTCATGAATCAAACGAAAGGAGGTGTTAGAGGGTCATTTCAAATAAAAAAGCCATATATGTATGTCATTATCCAATTTTGCACAATTTTTGAAATATCGCCATTTGTTTGAATTTGTAGACAATCAGTACTTTTCAGGCTGTACCCTTCTTTTTATTAAGTTCTTTTGTTACTTTCAAATCAGCTTTACAGCATATGTTCCCGAATGATGTATCGCTCAAGAAAAAATTAGTGTAGGTAATGGAGGTATAGTAAGCGGCTGATTGGCTATTTTATCTGTTGTCAAAAATATTACGGCCCAATTTTACACAGTTTTGATACGCTGTACATGATTAGAAAATGCTGCAGATACCCTTAATCTTGAAAACTACCATTTTACGAGCATATCCTATAACTGACTTTGCTAATATTCTACATTCCGGATGAAGTCAGGAAACGGTTAAAAACCGATAAACCCTGAAATAAAGTCGGAACCTTTTGAGACGTACGAGCCAAAAGTTACAATTTACAAATGGCTCAATGTTGATCTCATTCATATTTGTGTTGAGAGGATTTACTATGAGCTGGACATCAAAACAGCCGCAGGTTGCCGACCCCTGGTCTATATGATAAAATTATTACGAAAGCCGTGCTAACAAGGTGACTGCCTTTTTTGTCACAAATGAGATAATACAAACATATATAGGCTAATAACCTAACGTCCGTGTTATAAAAGGTCTGCAGAGACAATCTTATACTTATTCCGCTCGTGTGATTCTAATACTGCGAGCTCGATACAAGATGTCGTGTTCGTTACAGTAATATGCAAAAATATCCTTCGTTTGTTGCTTGTGGAATGGAAATGCTTGATTTCCTACTGGAGTACCGAAACCGATATCCCAGTGGAGCAAATTTTCCAGACTGTGGCATAGAAAGATGCCCGAGGGATAAAAAATAACAGAAGGGCTGAGAATCGTCATGGATACTGAAGACGGAATATTCCAGCTAGTTGAAGTTGAGCCCTTTAGTACGCGGGATCGACGTAAGGAACTGCTGCACCTGTACCATACTTAAATTGTCCAGGTCTTCCAGAAGAATACCCAAGAAGAGTCTCACTTTGAAGAATGATACTCCAACAATTCAGAAATATAGTTTCCAAAATAAACGTTATTGATAGAAGCGACAGTTTTCAAAGAGCAACCATTTTTAACATTCACAATTTACGCCACTTGGCTCTATTTAATTTATAAATCACGAGTCAGGACCGGTTTCAGCAGCGATTTAGAGACAGCTCATCTGATAGACTAATGACTAGTAACTCCCACTTCAGTTAACAGGACGTTTGTGTGCTGAAACTTATTTGAATCTTTGTTGAAGGAACTTCCCGGAACTCTTAGATGAGATGTTAGACGCGATGCTTCTGCCAACTAACCGCGAAACGATGGTACATCGAGTTGAGGATTTTCAAATCGCACCTGCTCTGGATGATACGTTTAAGGGATCTATTCACATGTAAGGTTCTGCAGTCTGCTTCTTATACCTGGACTACAGAAAGTTGATAGCTGCTGTGGAGATTTAGGACAGCTGCAACATTTTCTCTATCTTGCGTAAAGTCTATTTTGGATATTTGATTACGTTAAAGGCCATAATATCCGGAAGTTTCCCATAACTACGGACTCTTTATCTGCCCACTATTTGCTGTATAGCCCTTGTTAAATATGCTATAATATTTTTGACAACAGAAAAATCGCAGTTCAGCCCATTGCTATTTTCTTTTCGTTAGCGACACAAAAAATAGTTCTTCCTCAAACGTATGCACACTCTTAAAAATGACGATAACCGTGCACGATCGGATAGGGATATACATGATTTTTATGATTAGAAATGACCCCCTTATCACCCCTTTCGTTTGATTTAGGACTTTTGGGACATCCTGTATACGTAACAAACGCCGAAGGTTTCTGAGGATACAAGATGTTGCAATAATAACGCGAACGGTTGGGGGTGATCCTTTCTTGGAACGCTGATGTCATAATTAAGAATAGACAATTTTCTTTATAATAGATAACTGCTAGCCGTTTTGAGTTTTGAAATGGAATGTGCTTATAATTACATTAAAAAGACAACCTATCAATTTTGTGAGCTTTTTAATTTGAATAGTATTTTTAGTTTCCTAAGTATACGATTTTTCAGATTTAAAATGTATCAGGTAGCAGATCTCATTAAACTGAACAGAAAAGTAATCTCATGTATTTTACGGCGTCGTAACTGAGATATAAGGTATTCAAGTTCATTTCTTTTAATTTATATATCCGATTCAATTACCCCATATGCGGCGCTATAAATTTTAACAGGATATTTCGTGGTTTAACGAGCTTTCCTTATTAGTGGGGGGCTTTTTTACATGATGACACATTTACTCCTAATTGTCCGCAAGAAGTGTGGCTTTACAAGTAGAAAAAAATCAAATAGTTAAATTCTTAAAATTGAACAGAAATGTGGGTGTAAACCCTGGATGGTCTCTGATTGGATTATACTATACTGGAATATAAATTAATTCTGAGGGTTTCAGGTTCGATTGATTTTTATCGCATCAGACTCTGAAATTGCCTATCAACGGGCAACCGGAAATTTTTACTTCATCTTAAAGTCCCTTGAATGATGAGCCCTCAAAGAAACCAGTGGTATACTTATTCAAAAACCCTTAAAATTTGATAATGCCGCCTCTGGGGTAACTCATTTGTATATAACCTCTACAATTCGAATTATTTAAAGCCTACCGTTGATTCACAAAGCATCATCTAAATCCCTCAAGTAATTTAAGAGAAATTGAGTGTATCAATATTAGAAGAAATGAACTTGAACACCTTGTGTCTCAGTAATAAAGCCCTAAAATATATTTTATTTTATTCAATTAATGAAATCTATTCGCTCGTATATTATAAACCTAAATAACCGTATACAAAAATTGGATGCAATTTAAAAGATAAGAAAATCAATCATCGGGTATACATATTTTAAATGCATTTCACTAACTGTACATCTCACAAGTCCGTTCAGAGGACCCTGGTTCCGAGGACCCTGGTTCCGAGGTTTATACCTAGAAGCACTTCACTGTTAAAGGAAAAATGGAGTCTGGAGTTATTCGTTCTAAAGACATTACTGCGGCCTTACTTGGCAACATGGTTGTGAATATTTTGTATGTGAACGCCAAAATAATGCATGGGTTTGAGCATTTTCTAGGAGAACACTTTATTCAATGGTAAATTTCGAAGTGAATGTTAATTTTTTTTGCAGGTAATACTCAGCGTATTTACCTACAAGCCTCTAAGGATTGTACAAAATTTCTTCATCATTTCCCTGGCCGTAGCAGATTTGACTGTAGCAATACTGGTTCTACCTCTGAACGTAGCCTATGCAGTACTTGGAAGATGGATATTTGGTACGCATTTAGAATATAGAAATTAGTAAAGCACAACATTTTGAAACGCCTTCTCGTATTTTTGATCATTCTTCGAGACGGTGAAAGTTTGAACCAGCTACTTATTCGTAACTTTACCATACTCTCTCAATATTTGAAAACCCTGCATGATTCCAGAACTGCATGGTTGTTGCTAATCGGAGTCTACAAAGAAATCTCCTAATATTTCTAAAAGGTGTTAGGATATCGATGTTCAAAATCCAAAACCGTGTTGTTTAGATAATAATAATAATAATAATAATAATAATCCAGCTTTATTTATACAAAGTATAAAAAGGAGAAGTGTCGCTAAAAAGCGTTTTTCAACTTAACCCAAGCTTAGGAATCTTGCTAAGCTGTGAAAATTTGAATACATCGTTTTTGTTTTTTGACGAGAGGTCTGCTTGAAGAAAGCATAATAAGGTTTCAAGGAGGTTTCTGCGTCGTTTCCCATCGAAACAACTTTGAAAAATGCTCGGCAAAGATCTCTACCACATCAGGGTAGCAAATTTGCAACTGAAAAGGCTAGTGAAGCAACAGGAAGAACCAGTCATAGATGTAGCTCTCTACTTAGCCCTTCAGCAACCAGGGTATGGAAGGAGAGGACAACCCTCCACAAGAACTGGAGGTGTAATTTCTCGGGCATTAGTACCCCACCCCCCCTCTATCCGTAAAGGAGGCTTTATAAGCCCACGCGGGCAGATCTGATGGTAGCTGCCTTAAGATTATCGGATGCTCGCACAAATACAACGAGATTGTCATTGTCCCTGCTTGATATCTGGCACCAATAAATTAATATTACCCTCAAACAATGAAAGCTAACTTAGGCGAAAGAGCAGATGGGCATCATGAAGACCGCCCCGAGCCGTTGTGTATTGTATTTTTCTTGTAAATAAAATAACTCTGTAATGTTAAATGTGTAAGGTAAATATATTTTTATTGATTATTTTTTTTTGATAGATTGATAAGCTTTTGTATCATTGCTTTGCTTAGCCTCAACTTTGTAATCAGTTTAAGTAGCCAATGTGGTTTTCAGGCATCCACATCTGCAAGATGTGGCTAACGTCCGACGTCCTGTGCTGCACTGCATCGATCCTGAACCTCTGTGCCATCGCCTTGGACCGTTTTTGGGCGATCACGGACCCCATCAACTATGCTCAAAAGAGGACTGTGAAACGAGTACTTCTCATGATTGCAGGTAACATCAGCGTTTGATATGACGACAATTTGCTAAAATTTAAAGTTTTGTATTAGGGATTCAAGAAACCAGTTGCTAACTTTTGATTTCTACGGAAAATTGGATGCTTTCCATAAACAGTGGCCCAAAAGTCAAGGAAATGAGGGATATTTGAGAATATTCAAGCGTTATAGTAAAATAGCAGCAAGATTTGACACTGGCAATGCCGTGCTATAGTCGAAATCACGAAAGATGACGATTACTTCATCATTTTAGTCTGTAGTAAAGACGAACAAATGCGATTTGTGAATATTTTCAATGAAGTTTCAGATATGTTAGACAGAGATAAACAGAATTTTATTGTCTAATAAACTGTATTACTAATTTGCACGTATCCGACAAAGATAGACGATGTTTTCATGTTGCATGATCGATCATATTTGAAAGATAGTTAGGTTATGTTAAAGCAGGGTAGGTTATTTTATAATAATACTTTGTTATGTGGTATTCCTGTCAAGGTATCCTACTCATAACTGTTCTTTGTTTCAAAACAAAAACTCCCCACTAAAATTATTACTAAGGCATCACTCAAAAATATGAAATAAAATGAAAATAAAAATAATCAGTGAAATAACCTAACTTCGCAAAATCATAATATAAATTTGTTGTCATTATGTTCCTGACATCGTGATTTTATCATCGACATACGTGCATTGATTACTTCAGTCGAATTTATGGTATGACGTAATAGTCATCTTTCGTGATTGACTATAGCAATGATCTTGAATTTGATCTTCAGCATGAGATTTGAGACAATTTATTTAAATAAAATGTTTATTTCCAACCCCGAAGGCGGACAAAATGGTAAAAACCCCTCGATTGAAAGCACTTCCGGAATATTTTTAAAAATAAAGACATAAAGACCCAAAAACAAGTTCAAGGTTTCCGTGGCTATTCAACAATCTCCTTTTAACTGACCTTGATCATGACCTTGCGAGCCAAATCAGAGTCGTAGCAATTTTCTTGAATTGTATCCTATACTTTTGACTTCGCAAATGAACAGAGGTCCTGGTCAAGCTAGACGCAAAAACAAATATTTGCTTGAGAACATGTCAGGGCTCTTTCTAAAAATAAACAAAAAATCAGAGCCTAATGCAAGAAAGACTTACCGCCAGCCTGTATTTTCACTGATGACTTTGAAACTGATCTTTACCAGTCATATCAAGGTTTAAACAATTTTTGCATGATACCCTATGCTTCTTAATCTTTTGATCTCGGAAACGGGTCGGGCAGAAAATCCTACTTATGGGCATATGCCTTTGATCAGGGACGTTCAAGATCACTACAGTTTTTATCAAAAATCATATTAAGCTCTGGAATATCAATATATTCAGGAATATTCAACGGTTATGGTGAAAGTGAGATAACAGCGGCTTAGAATTAGTTCATGAATATTCCGTGGTCGTGATGACATTGATGTTGAGCAGGACACTTGAAAATATCCCTTTCAAGCGAGACGCTTACTTTTGACCCCGAAGATGTACAAAGGGAAAAATTGAAGACGACCTTGAATGACAACTATTTCACCTTGAACGTCCTGGTCGAGGTCAGAGTAAAAACCGAAGAAACAAAGCAATAAGAACCCAAAAACAACTTGTGCTGCAATGTTTCTGTGGCTATTCAGTGATGATCTTGTAACCGACCTTGATCATAAACTTGTCGATCAGATCAAAGTCATAACATTTTTCTTGAATTGCACCCTATACATTTGACCCCGGAAACGAACAGACGTCCTGGCCAAGTTAGACGTAAAAACAAGCCTTTGCTTGAAAACATTTCAGGGGTCTTTCTCAAAATAAACAAAAAATCAGAACCGAGATGCAACGGAGACTTAGCGTTAGCCTGGCTTTATACTGATGACATTGAAACTGACCTTTATCATTACCTTGACAGTCAAATTCAAAGTCTAGACAATATTTGTATCATACCCTATAGTTTCGATCCCGGAAACAGATAGGCCATGAACATTTACTTTTAGACATAACCTTGACCCGATTCGTTCAATAAGAAAACATTTCTCACTCAGAATCATATTTGAACGTAAAATCTTTCAGTCTATCCTTTTTCGAGGTCAAAAGTATAGGGTCCTTCTGTTCATTTTTTGGAAAACTTTTGGGGGGTAAAAAATTGCACTTGAGGATTCTAGGGGATGCAGAAGGGTGTAGTTCAATTTCTTGCAGCAGTAAATTTATAAACTTCTAATTCCGGTAGTTCCACATATATCATACAACAATTTCCTGTATATTTCCCCTTGAAACTTACTAATTGCGACTGTAAAAGCAACCTTGTCATTGCTTATCAAATGGGGGGAGACCGAAGACGAATACGGTTCTTCTTCACAGTGAGGTTCTGGTAGTCCCAGACGGTAATTTAGACAGCTAAGCGCGAAGCTAGGCAATATCGTATGATTAATTTGTTTGGACAAGTGTATTTGACAGTCCCTGTAATATTCAGGAAGTTCTTGTCGGGGATATATGCTAACAATTTATTTGTTGTAGATGTTCGTAAGTGACTTTTATTTGAATGAGACTGACTTTCTTGATGAACTGATCATGATGTTGCGTGGAAAGTAAATCTACTTGATGTCTTTTTTTGCGTCTTGAGTAAGAGAGGGTTTCAAGATACCCTGGTGCAGCATGTACTCGTGTAAAGTCTGATTAGAGAAACATTTTTCTCAACGTTTTCAATTTTTTCTATTCTAGGGGTGTGGATCCTGTCTCTACTGATAAGCTCCCCGCCTCTAATTGGCTGGAACGATTGGCCCGAACCAGACGACTTCCAGAAGCAGCAGATCTGCGAGCTAACGAAGAGGCAGGGATACGTCATATACTCGTCACTAGGATCATTTTTTATACCTCTGTTCATCATGACCATAGTTTATGTCGAGATTTTCATTGCAACGAAGAGAAGGTAGGTTAACTCTAACCTTCGAAGCACAAATTTTATCAAATCAAAATGTGAAAATGTTTGGGTTCTTAATGACAAAATGTTATTTTTTGTTCCAGGTTACGTGAGCGAGCACAAGCGGCGAAAATAAACATCTCCAGGAACCAGGGTCCAAAGAAGGACGAGCAGCAAGATAGAGAAAGCGTCAGTAGTGAAACCAATCACAATGAGAGATCGGTCGGAACAACAGAATCGGCCAATGGAAAAACGAAGGGTAAGACGAAAAAGAAGGACAAGGAAGACTGCAATACGCTTAAGCCGATCTTGAGCCATGAAGATTCGCTTACTGATAACTGTAAGTATGAGCTCAAAATAATGCTTGATTTTAGAAATCAAAATATCTTCGAAGATCAGAGGGGGTTAAAAGAGGCAAAAAATGTCATATAACATGGGGGTCAAAACGGCATATTTTTAGAGAAAAGCGACTTTAAAGTAAAATAAAATCTGACAACGCCGCAATGTCAGATGCAAATCACGACGGAACGCAGTGTAATTAAAGACGGAGTTTATTATTTTTGGTTCTTAGGTATTATTTCATTATTTGATAAATTTGATTAATACGCAAAATGCAAACAATTAAACAAAAGGACTCACCACTAAATGACTCAGTACTGTACCTGGTGTGTGAAAGTTTATTGAACGTATTAAAAAAATCCACTTATAAATAGGGAACCCAATTTTGATAGATACATCGTTTTTCTTTTTAAAACCCACACTGCACTTTTTTTATATTTAAAGAAGGTGTTCAAAATGTCATCCTCCACTTCCCACACAAGCTTCATTACGACGAACCTAGTTTCTTCTCAGTCTAGGTCCTCGAAGTTGGTCATTTATTATTTCAGCCGCATTAAATTTTGTTTCGCGAAGTTGTGCTTCAGTTGTTATCAGACCAGCCCCATAAACCATCCCTTTAAGTTCTCCCCAATACCAGAAATCCATTGGATTGAGGTCAGGAGATCTTGCTGGCCATTTTTGAGGATAGGAGCATTTCGACCGATCCAGCGATTTGGATAATGCTCATTCATATACTGAAGAAATATGAAGAAACCACAAATTCTGTCTCCGTTGTAATGGCATGCTGTCTAAGGTCTGTTCCAAAAGTTCTGGTAGGTTATTGGCTAGAAAGCTAAGGTATCCTTCTCCTGACAACTCTGTGAGTAATTCGAAAGGGCCACTCACCTGACTGACTGTCAAGAATACCCGCCCAAATATTTATTTTAAAACGTTGTTGTAAATGACCTTCACGAATGGTATGAGGATTTTCTTGGGCCCACTTGTGAGTATTGTGGAAATTTAACATCCCGTCTCGCGTAAAAGTATATTCGTCCGTCGGTAGAATGTTTTTAAAAAAACTTTCAATGTTTTTGTGCAAAAACCACTGACAGAATGTTAGCCTGCGAGGACAGTCTTGTGCTAAATTGTATATCTGTCGTCTTCGGCGTCAACTGGTCTTCGCTGACTGACTCACTCTTTTCAGGCGTCTGCCTTTTAGGCATGTGTTTGGCCTCTTCTAAAGAACGCTAGCGTATTAGAGGTTAGATCTCAAAGTTATACACTCCGTAGTTCCGCTGATCGCCAATAGACCGCCTACTAGTTGGCCCTGCCAGCAGATGGCGTCACAATAGGTTGATGAGCAGATAATCAACTATAAAAATGACGCACCTGCCTGGATCTTGCTACAAACGTTACCACGTCCGGTGTCGCTTCACTAAGCACTGAGAAAAATAAAAGTGATCGCCCTTGTAGTGGATGTCCTCGTTTGAAATCCTGGACATCCCGGAAGCTGTCACTCAGATGGGCCAGAAAACTGTTGGTTCTTATTGCCTTACGTAGGGGTCGGTAGTATTAGCGATTAGCGAAGCTACTCATAGACCTGTATTTTTCGCACACCACAATATTGGGCTTTTCAACATACTCATATTCTTCTGTTTGTTTTCCGTCAACTGTCTTCAAACGACTGGATCTATATTGTACTAATGATTGCTAAAAACCTTGAAACAACATTGTTGGTGGTTGGTTACCGTCAGCGAGTAGGAAAGCAACCAAATCGTATCCAGTCATTATTAAGATATTTAGAATATGTATCTATACTAAAAGCTGAAGAGAAATGCCATTTCTATGAGTTTTGATCATTATAGAGGTTCTATTATTTCCAGGTGAGAACTCGTCATCATCTCCAAAGAAGAATTCAGTCGCAGGTACATCAGAGCATAACAAAGGCATCTGTGCCTCAAGTACGAGTATTATGATCTCAAATAATAAGCCAAATGCAAAGGTATGTCATATTTAGTGCTAGTTAGTCTTATTAGTTAGTTTTAATAAATAAAAGCAGTAAGAAACAATAACTAGTAGAAAAACAACTGGCCAGGGGACCTGAATTATCAAAATGTTCCTTTCTCCAGCGAGAAGATAAGCAGATCCTAGTCAGATTTAATATTGTAGACACGTAGAAAATTTAGAAAATAGTATTCAATAGTCTCTTTTTCAGGAAGATGAAAAATATTAAACAATTCGTTAAAAACCAATGGGACTATTGTGTTAACTAAGTTTAGTTCTCCGGAATAGAAGCCGGTATTACAAATTTATGTACGTGACGATTTTTGAAAATCCCTTTTACCTGAAGCCTAACGAAATGAAACGGCGCTTGGTCAGGTAATGCTTTCAAAAAGAATGCTTATCTTTCCTTCTATTCAATGACCATCACACATACTCGTTAATTGGTCATGTTATGGGAAATTAGGAATACATAGCAGAAAAAAATATTTTTTTATATTTCAGTAATTAGCATCTGCATTGAAAAATTAAAAATACACTGAACATAAAACATATATAGTTGGAACATTCCCAAAACCGAACTAGGTACTAATTTAAAAATTAAATGAAACGGAATGAAATACAGCTATACATTTTAGAAAGGAATCAGGAACCTGGAGTGGAAAATTTGTATTGACCATACTCAAGATGAAAGTCTGGTTGAGCATTGAACCCATCTATATCTTCTCCAATACTTGCATCGCCAACTATATTCCTATAAGACTTCTGCAATTCTCCAACTGTATGGAGGTTTTACGCAAGACATTGGAGGGACGTGGGTTAACATGCGCATCAGATGGCAGCAAAACTTGAAAGTTTATCAAATAAATAAATAAACGAAAAGAAAAAATATTATGAAAACAAAATCGGTAGCAATAAAAATAACAGTAAAATGATGTGGAAGACACTAAAAAATATTGTATCTCCCAGTAGAAAGAATGAATTATCAAGAATTCTTAGAATCAATTCCAAAAATCATATATGAACACGTCATTGAATATATTGAAGAACATAAGATATTGACAAAATCTCAAGCAGGATTTAGAAAAAAGCATTCTACTGAAACAGCAATTCGAAAGGTAGTAGAATGGAGGCGAAATATGGATGAAAAAAAGTTTACAGTAACATTGTTTTTAGATTTCAAGAGAGCATTTGAGACTATTGACAGGGAGAAATTGTTAACGAAATTGCATTGCTATGGATTTCAAGGTTCAGTAGTCAACTTATTACGAAATTATTCAATCAATACAAGTCAAAGAACTAAAATTGGCAATACATTATAAAACATTTGAAACATTTCGGTAGGTATGCCGCAGGGTAGCAAGTTATGTTCATTTCTATTTATTTTATATACAGTGGACCTCCGGTAATCCGACAAACATTATGCAGGGCAGTGTCGGACTATCGAATTTATCGGATTATAGAGCACTGCCTAAGACCCCCTATAGTCCGGAATTTTTTACAAAAGAGTACCTTGTAATCCGACAAATTACATCTCCAATGGTAAAATTATATATGTTATGTATATGTATGTACTTTGAAGTACAAATCATAGATAGATAGATAGATAGATGCTTTATTGTCTTCGGATCATAGAAATGATATAAGACTCGTCAGGCATATCACATTATTATCTACAATGTGCAGTGCAATTTGGCGGAAGACACATCGCAGTGATGCATTTATCCTCAGTTGTTAGTTCTTCTTCAGACAGATGAGCGGGAGCGTTATCAAGAAGCAACAACGGTTTTTGAGGAACATTATGATCTTTTAACCATTTTCTAACTTCAGCTACAAAGCATTCCTCAAACCACTTTTTGAAAAGGTCTTTTGTCATCCATGCACTTTTTTGTCCGTAATAGTGTACAGGTAAATCAATGTTTTTGAATGCGCGTGGCTTATTGGACTTCCCAATGACCATCATCTTAAGCGCGTGGGTGCCGCAGTGTTAGCACATGGTAGTATGGTTACACGCTTTTTACTTACTTTTCGTCCAGGTACGGATTTTTCGTTACAAGAAACGAAAGTTTTGTTTGGCATCACACGCCAAAAAAGCCCTGATTCGTCTGCATTGTACACCTGTGACGGGTCAAGATTTAAATGGTACACCTTTTGCAAAAATCTTAATTTAAAGGGCTCTATGCAGGTGGCATCCTTTGCTGGTCACAAAATCATCTTTTTTTGTTATTTCCTTATAAAAAAACTTAGCTTTCATGGCCAACATGGGTCCTGAAATTGGTGCATGCCTATTTCTTTCCTGAAGAAACCACATGTACAAAGCTTCTTCCACTTCTGGATGTTCAGCTTTCTTGAGTGTCTGTCTTTTGCCTGGCCCGCAGCCAGTAGTTGACACGAACTTCTTGATCTTCTTATGGTTTCTTTTAATGTCATAAATTGTAGATCGGCCTACCCCGTATTCACTTGCTAAACTACTGAAAGTTTCATTGCGATTTAAGCGGTGTAAAATATCACATTTTTCTTTAATTGTCAATGTTTTATGCTTTCGCTTCTGAGTTTGTGATGACATTACTAGGTACTATACTTAATACACAATGAATAAATAGTAAACAATGAACGCAGGCTAGGCCGTACCGGTATCACAAGTAGTCAAATTCAAACTAAACTGTATCCATCGAAGAAACAAAGTAAAATCAAACATATACACCCGTATTGCACGTGATCAAGAACTTAACCGTAGGAGACGCTACAGGGCCGTATCAAGCTATTGTGACTGATCTATCAAAAAATGTCGTACAAGATATGTGTTGCTGTAAATTCTATCAAAAGCATAGTAAATTATCAGGAATATACCACGCCTTTCTAATCATATTTCGACATAAGGAATCAGTGCAAAAAAATCTGTATTCACCATTTCAGCAAAATGTTACTAAAACGCACACGAAAAAAACTTGTGAACCATCTCAATTGAAATTGTTCATATTTTATTATTAACTTACATATATACCAAATAATATTTACAAATCAACGTTCTATTCACAATGCAGAGCAAATTTTTTTGAGCAAATAGAAACTACAGACGCAGTAGTAGTAGTACAAAAGTTTATTACAGACTCCATAAAGTTTGATAGTTTGATTGCTATTAAAATTTACATGAGAAATAGGAAGAAGGTCAAAATGGCACTATTATGCTTTGGAACTCCTAAATTAACCCTAATTTTGTGTAATTATAAATTTGGAATTTCCACATTAATAACTAGAAACTTACGCTTTGATTTCAGTCTATAATGAACTTACCTGTCTTCCCAAAAAGCCCGTTAAACTGCCAGTCTTAATGGTATCAATCGATTTATATGCTGTATTCCGAGGATCTTGAATCATCAGAATTGTTGATGTCAATTATAAGGGGTTCAACTTGGGTGTCAATGATATTGTCCATATCCCACATTTTGGTTTCAACCTTCTCTTGGACATGGTCAATACATGTTCTCCATTTTGCTGGCGTAATTCTATCGACAGCAACATCAAACAGTTTTTTAAGGTCAGAAAACTTAAAAGTGCTGTTATTTGACGCCACGTATTGCTTGATGTCGGCCCAAATCAACTCGATAGGATTCAGTTCGCAGTGATAGGGAGGCAGCCTGAGAATCGTTTTATTTTGGTTTTTGGCCATTTCGTCAACAATTTTTAAATCATATTTATACTTATGTCGCTTGACTATATTTATCAGCTTAGCTTTGACCATTGTTTGGTCGAAGTCGATCTTCTTTGAGACAAGCCACTGTTGAATGTCTGCCTTTTTGGTGGCCATTGTTGGAATTTTTTCCAATTTTCTGGAGTGGTACGGGGCATTATCCATCACAATAATTGCGTTATCATCAAGTGTCGGCAAAATTTTTTTGAACCAATTTTCAAATGAGTTACCATCCATTTCTTCGTGATAGTCTCCAGTTTTTTTGGCGTTTTCCCTTGCCTGAAAGTAATTAGTTATTTTACTTCTCAGCGAGCGCACTAAATGACGAAATTAAGCAACTTACTCTTTTTAGGTTAGTGTACGATAGGGTCTTAGATTAGTTTTTGGGTGAAGGAAATACTCAGAAACTTGGATGAGATAGCAAAACTGAGTTCGGAGCTTCCAAATCATTGATTCGATCAGAAAATGAATTATCTGCATCCAAAAAAGTTCATATACTTCGAAACTTACCTGCAGGATTTTTCAATCCCGTCGAAAGGCCATCTAAAAAGCCTTCCTTGAGGACCTCACAGATCTGTCTACCCAAACCTTTCCCTGCGTATGCCCCGCGTTCACCCATGTTTCGTCTAAATAATAAATTTTTCTTCCTTCAGCGCAGAATTGCCTAATTTTTCTAAGGTATTCTCTCCTCCAGATAACAATTTCCTCCTTTTCTATCAATAAACTATTCCTTCCTCTTTTCAAAAATCGAAATTCTAGTTCTTTCAACAGCTTATGGAACGTAGATCTTTTAAAATTTGGCAGGTCCTCATCATCATTCACTTGCTTCAATATTTTATCTATTGTAGGTATTTCATTCCTGAAGAAAAAGTGATGTACTTTTCTTCTAATGGCACTTTTGTCAAAGTCTTCTATTTTTTCGATGATTTTTTTTCTCGCTGGATATGTTTTTGGCTCAGATAGTGAGTGATTTTGTCTATATTCCTTCAAGATTTTGTAAACACTTGATCGACCTACTCCAGAAATTTCAGCAACCTTACATACGATATTTTCTATAGCCAATCCACTATTCTCTTGCATCTGGTTCTTGTAGATATTTAGAATAATTTGTTTTTCACCTGCGCTAAGATGAAGCTTTTTAGCCCTTTTTCTGGGTGACGTTAAGCTGATTTCAACCACTTCATCAGCTGTATCTGTGTCAGACATTTTAGACTAATATTAAATTTCCGCAAGAAAAATCAAGTCAAGACGTGCATAAAACGTTCGCGCTCATAAACGGGTATCCGTAACTGATTACAATCCTGTGCGTGGTGACGAACCATCAACGTGACGCTGAGAGTTCCCTCTACTATGCAGCGTTGCCAGGCTTAATGTCACAATGATCATGTTTTATTGGGAAAATTGTCAGAAATCGCCGAATGTTGAACAGAAACATTACAAGAAGTCTAACCTTGAAATGTGAGGCTACAAATCGATATTCTTATAGGGGGGAAGGATAGGGAGCTGTTATGGTTCCTATTAACCTTGGTGAAAGTTGGAAACGGTAATATCATATATGGCATACATTCGGTTGAAGGTGTGTGCACGGAAAATAGATTGCGGATAGGATTTTAATAGATAAATCTGCACAAAAAAACACAAAAGGAGATTTTTGTATTTCCCTGAAGAATATCTCAAGGTTATTTCAGATGTACTCATCGAAACTTTATGGAAGGATTATCGAAACCTTATTTTCAATTGCGATAGGGCCACATACCTCGACATCGCATTAATGTGAAAAATAAGACAATAGAAAAAAATTCCCTCACTGATGCTATCTCTTAGGAAAAATTTAACTATAAAGATTGCACAAAAATTTTCTTCACCTTTTTGAGCTTGTTTTCGCATCTCCGTATATGCCGTTCATAATTTGCTGCAGATCAAATTGGAATATACCTTTGTGATGCCATTTATTGTTATATAATGTCCTTTACAACAGTTATTGCACGTATTGCACCAACAGATTGATTTGTGATCCATGCGAATGTGATCAACCACTCTGGCGAAAACTCGCCGAGCGTGGCAACCGTGCGACTTTGTCTGGAGGCTCGTCGCTGCAAGCCAATCAGGAAGAGGCCGACAGAGCGCCATGGCTACCGATCACGCGTTGATCACGAATCAACCACTGTTTACGATTACTTTGTAGCTTCGTTAGATACACTTTAAGTAAAACAATGCTACGCGTCGAGCACGATAGCGGTGGCGCGTACAAGTTGTAACCTGTTCAGACCTGCGTGATCTACATTAGCGAAGATTGTCAAATACGTATGTATGTAATATTCATGTCGGATTACAGGGCGCGCCGGATTAGACAGGGGCCGGATTATCGGGGGTCCACTGTATTAACTATATTCCTGATATTCTACAACAGTGCAAAATTCAACTATTTGCTGATGATACATTAATATTATATATCAAATAAAGACATTGAAACTGCAATAGAGCTGTTAAATAATGATATGAAAAACGTAATAAATTGGTTAAATGTAAATAAACTTAAACTAAACACAAACAAAACAAAATATATGCTAATAGGAGAGTCTTTAGATTAAAATACGACAAGTCTTACAATTCATCATGAAAAAATTATGTCAATCGAATCATTTAAATATTTGAGCATATACGTAGACAGTAAATTAAAATTTGAAGTGCATTATGAGTATATTATTCCAAAAATATCCAAGAAAATAAATTGCTATCATTCTTCCTCATTTGTTATATTGTTCGACTATTTTGTTCAGTGCAAATGAAACTATGTTTTTAAAATTACAAATATTACAAAATAAAGCTATGAGAATCATCTTAAATAAAAATAAATATACTAGAATAAGTTTTATGCTGAAAGAACTAGAATGGTTAAATATCAAAAATTTCATAGCCTACTTGGTTTTCATTTTCATATTCAAGTTAAAAAATCATCTTGTACCAAATCACTTAGACAATTTTATTGTATTGAACAATGTACCACAATTATTCTACTAGAGGAAGTATAGACTTTGATTTACAAAACTGCAGTAGCAATATAACGAGCAAGTCAGTATTTCAAAAGGGATTGTACGACTTTAATAAATTAAGTAATGATATCAAGATGTGTATCAGTTTGAAAATGTTCAAAAGGAAATTGAAAAATATCTCATGGAAAACCAGAATTCACGTATAAAAATATGTAGTCCTGAAGACATAATATATTTTCTAATATACTGTGTAATATGGATATTGTAGCATTAATGCTAAATAAATCTGAAACAAACAAACAAACAACAATTACAAACCTATCTTCTCTTGCAGACCGTTTTAACAGAACCAAAGAAGCCCGGCTTCGTGTACCAGTTCATCGAAGAGAAACAACGCATCTCCCTGTCAAAGGAACGCCGTGCTGCACGTACCCTCGGGATCATCATGGGGGTGTTCGTCGTATGCTGGCTACCCTTTTTCCTCATGTACGTCATCATCCCCTTCTGCCCCATCTGCTGCCCGTCCAGGCGGTTCATCAATTTCATCACGTGGCTGGGGTACATCAACTCGGTATGTGTTGGAATGTTATGCTAATTCTGATTTAGACGTAGTTTAAGCATTTTAAGTTTATGTATGAGTGCGTGAGCTCATTTAAGGATGTTTTCCAAACATGCGTCAAAAATTTTGTTAATCTAACATAACAACCTACAAGATATAGACATTCCCATCAGTCTTAATACTAGAAGCTTGTACTATCATCAAGGATAATGTTGAAAAGTTTACGTTTGCCAGTAATATTTATTCCTGTGATACCAGATCCAACAACAATATTTACTTAAGTAATTTAAATTCATCCATGTACAAACACAGCCCCATGAATCTATCTAACAAAGACACACTAGTGCGGACAGTCATACAAAGTCACCGTAAATATCAATCATATCTGTCTACCCATTGACCTTTATATATCTGTACAAGTCAGTTTCTGTAAATATTTTTACAAACAAAAACTAACAATTTTCGTAATTAAGAAGTCCTCGGTATAACCTAGATATTTTGCAAGGAAATTTATTTTTTCCATTACTTACCTAAGAAATCACAACAAAAATAAATGACATTTAAAATTGTATAACATCGATTTAATTATATCAGTTGGATAACTGAACTATATTTCCAAATATTTAAAAAGGGCTGTGAGATACACATATTGAGAGTACATCCTCTTGTAGCTATCCTTCTTGAATATCGCAATAGTCAAAGCTGGCTTTCTGTTAAAATCACTAATTCCGTCAATTATAAATCGTCAATTTGTTAGTTTGACATCAGGCACCTAAACTTTTGAAAGCATTCATTAAATAAATTGGAAGACATCATGACATGAAAAACTGTTAGTAGTGGAACAATTTCAGAAGACCATCTCGCACATTATATAACTAAGGTGCTCGCGCATTAACGACTCACTTGTCAAACTAGGAATATAATGCCATATTTTATTCCAGGTACTTAACCCAATCATATATACCATCTTCAACATGGACTTCAGAAAAGCATTTAGGAAGTTGCTGGGTTTTTCGCAAACGTAAATGCCAAACACTCAACATGTGGTGCTAGTTAGAGAACGAATGATATTCTAGTCTGTAACAATTTTTTGAAGTTTTTTATAGTTTCGTTTATAGTGTATGTTGAGATTATTGTATAAACCTAGATTAAGCAACAATAAAAATCGTAAAACACGTTCTTTGGAGCTATGTAACTCAAAGGAAAACAAAGATGTACATGTATGAATATGTTCGGATTTGAAGTTTAGTTCATTAGATTGGCCAGAATGTCATCAGGTTATTTTTACTGAAGAAAAATTGGTTGCCAAAAACACATGTTCAAGATACTCATAACAATACCTTCAGGAGAAGCAATGCTCAAGAACCCAGATAATGTTTTTTTCTCTAAATTCAGTTTTTGCCTTCAAAACACGTTTTCATGTAAGAAATAAAAAAGGTTTTCCGGTTCAGTTAACAAGAAGGGCATAGCAGCATAAAAAATGGTTTCCAATGTTGGTTTTCTTGATAAATGTATTCAGTATCTATTTAAAAAAATATTATTTCGTAAGAATGATGATGTTACACCCTACACAGAATATTGGGAACAATTTTACTTCGAGGATTGCGAGTATCACAAGAAGTGAAGAATGGAATGTGGATGTAGGATTGTGCTATCGAAAACCGTTATTTGAAATTTCCCCAAGGAGCTACAAGGTGCCTTTTGTCAGTAACGCAGTGCGACGCCTCAGTCTCTTGCTTTGCGGATTTTGATAATTATGGGTTGGAGAATCTAAACCAGAGGTTCTCAAGCCTTGAGAATCAATTATTTTCTAGCGCTCCCGATATTACTTCAACTATCCTTGTATCCTATTATCATGACTTCGCCAAGCATCAATTCATCTGCCAACACCACCACCCCTACCCCATTCTGCTCCAGGCTTTTTACCGCACCTCCTCTGCAGGTCCCCAGTGCGCACAAGGCGTTAACCACCCACTTTGAGAAAGACTGAGATAAACTAACAACAAAACCTATCCACATTGGTGCTCCGACTCAGTAGCACATTATATCCCTAAGCGCCTTACGGCTAGGGATAGAAGTCTTCTCCACTTAAATATGGACCGGACCGCTCTGACGAATAATGACGAATAGTACCGCATTGCAAGCGATTGGGGTGACGTGTGGTGTCCAGCCTCAATAGTTATCAGAGCCACCGCGCACCTTTTTAGTTGTTCTGGACGTCTCGTTGTAATCTGAGAATTTGTACCAGCAACAGACTTCTTACTAAGACCATAGTAATTATCATATTATCTATTAAAGCGTGTCCGCATCAATAGATAACAAAAGTAGAATATTCCTGGAAGTCGTAGTATAAGCTTTATCCGTCGTCAACTAAACTAAAAATTCCCGTATTTTTTATGAGAAACTCATAGTAGAATTTACCATAGGGATTCTGTAAATAAGACTGTAGTTAGGTTTATCTAAGGTGCTTGCTGATATTTACAAATGTGGAATTGAAATTGCTCCATCTCAGTCTGCTCTGAGAGCGCACATTCTACTCATGCATAAGTATTAATGTTTACTTTTTTTGTTCTGAACTTCATATAGACATTAGTCAAGCCAAAAATCTCGCATTTGTAGGAGAAGTTTCCCAACTCAGTTTGTTGATCTTTTCGAACAAATTACGAAAATGTTTTCTACGCTGCGGATATAACTTTTTTAATTTCTGTTTAGATGACTTTGAACAAAAGGGTTCTTAGTTACAGTTCTCTAAATTTAGCAGTGTTAGAATGTTAAGCAAATTGGGGCCTGAAAAATCATAAAAACTTCTATTTCCAATACCTAGAAGCTCGGTTAAACTTTCCGCTATAGGAATCCGAGTATTTTAGTTTTAGGGTTTATTCAGAAGCACGATTATTGTATTTCGAAGCATTTTTATTCAATCTATAATAACAGCATTTCTGATTAACGTATTCTACCTGAAAATACCCAATCAGTGGGTTTCGATAAATCCGTGGTAGAAAGCTTTGTATAAATGCCGCCTTAAAATAAACTGGGTACAGAATTCTCTTCGGTATCTGGTAGGGAAAGGTTTGAGTTATACCCTGTAACCTCGAAAGTAATACTTGCAATTTTCTTTCCAGTTTCTGAGCAGTAAAAATGGCCATTTTTAAGTTTTTTTTAATGCCTGTGACTCGAAAGGGGTCTTTAGAGAACAGGCGTTTTTTTGTTCAGGATGATCCAAGAAACCTAAATAAACTTTGTCTGGGGCGAGATAGCTAACTTTTTGCAATCCGTCTGGAGACACAGACGTTGAAAAAAATCATGAAGTTTAAAAGTTTCTCCTACGAATGTGAAGTTACGCCTCGTCGAATATCTTTCCAGAGAAGTAGATCGTTACAACCATAATTACGATTTGCTCTCTACCTAGCAAAATTTCACGAACAAATTCTTTATGCCAGTCATAATGATAAGTGATCGCAGTTATCTATGACTCTGTCATAACTTTTTTTATCTTCTACGCCCATTCGACAGGCAACATTACAATTGGTAATCGCAAAAAAAAGTGGATTACCCATTTCTGTCGGTCTGTATTGTATGTCTGTTAAAAATTCCCTGACCTCTCTATAACTGGGATCGCACCACTCGGATTTGTATACAAGGTTACTAGTATGCAAAGGACGGAGAAGCTCTACAGGTTTTAAAAATCGATCCAATTGTCGCGCAACCACAAGCAAAAACGGTTGAGGATTGTGGACTGGTCATCGAAGCGGTGAGGGCTGCTAATGTTGCCTAGAATATTGCTTGCGTATTAAACAATTGGTAATGTAAATACCTATAAATATAGTAAAGATGTGGGTAAGCATTTATTGGGAGAGACTCAGAAGTAAACATGCCTAGACAAGTTGACCCACCTACCTACCCAATGTGCGTTTGTGGTGATATTTTGTTCTAATTTCGTCTTAGCAGTTGCTACTACAGCAGGTTACTCAACGTTATAAAAAGAAAAATACGCAAAACATGGAAATTATATGCAGTCTGTTCGCAGTACTTTGATTCTAACGGGTGATTTTTTAAGAGGTATAGGAATTGATTTAAAAAAAACACACAAAATTTGAAAAAACGATTAAATCTTTATTTGACTCGATAAAACGGTCGATATAATTTAATGTTTGAAGATTATTTCATGTAAATGTTGGCCGCGACTCCGGTTTAGATGGCCCATGCGCAAGGTCCAATTGTGGCACACTCTCTCCAACATATCGGCCGGTATCTCACGAATATATCCTTCAATACTGGCTTCCAGTGCGTCAATCGTTGCTGGTTTATCCCTGTAGACATTAGCCTTAACATGACCCCAGAAGAAATAGTCCAACGGCGTTAAATCACACGATCTAGGCGGCCAATTGATGGGCCCAAACGTGAGATAAACTGTTCACCGAACTCGCCTCTCAATAGGGCCATTGTTTCGTGTTCGGTGTGGCATGTGGCACCGTCTTGTTGAAACCACATGTCAGCCAAGTCCAGCTCTTCCATTTTGGGCAAAAAAAAGTTTGTTATCATCGCACGGCAGCGCTCGCCATTCACAGTTACGTTCCGGCCATTGTCGTCTTTGAAGAAGTACGGCCCGATGATGCCACCGGCCCATAATCCACACGAAAAAGTGATTTTTTCGGGATGCATTGGTAGCTCTTGCAATGCTTGTGGCTGGTCTTCACTCCAGATGTAGCATTTTTGCTTGTTAACGTACCCATTCAACCAGAAATGAGCTGCGTCGCTGAATACAATTTTTCGATAAAAATGTGGATCTTCCTCCAACTTTGCCAGTGCCCATTCACCAAATTGCAAACGTTGTGGGAGGTCGTGTGGCTTCAATTCTTGCACCAGCAGTATCTTATAAGGTTTTACACCCAAATCCTGTCGCAAAATTTTCCACGTAGTGGAGTAACAGAGGCCCAATTGCTGCGAACGGCGGCGAATCGACATTTCACGGTCATCACTAAGGTAGAAAACAGACGGAGCGACTTTCGTCGACTCGACCGTCGAGTCGACGGTCGAAAAAATTGTTCAAACGGGGCGACCACTTTCGTCGAGGAGGCAGTCGCGTGTCGTATCCGCGGTCCCTGGCAACGAGAGCAGGTTTGCTAGTAGTGTTCAATCAAAAAATCAATGGACCTAGACCTAGATGATGAATATGTAATGCTACTGTACTTGTTTTACTGGAGACGAATGAAGAAAAAAAAAAAGGGAGGCGTCTCTGGATTCATCCAATTATTTCACAGCGCAAAGAGAAAGGCTTTTTTACTATATTGTGGCCACAGCTAAGACAGGACGAAGAAACATTTTTCAATTTCACAAGAATGTCCCAGTTTTCTTTTTATGAACTTCTCACTGCTATAGAACAAGAATTAAGAAAAGAAAATACTGTTATGAGGTCTGGGTCTATTTCGTGTGCCATCCCTAAAATCTAAATGAATACAAAATTAAAAAAAAGATATTGTTTCAAAATAAATATCTTTTAATTTGAGAAGATAGCGGAATTTATAAAATCCGTGATCCAACATATTCCATCGTGTGATTCAGTACTTACGTGTGTGAATTTCGAAATAAAATGCGTCTGAATTGATACACTTCAGAACATGGCATGATGTGTCGATGCCGCGTCGAGTGCCGCTGCAAAGTCGCGGGGAAATCATATGTCGACTCGACTTCAAGCGGCGGGGCGCCGCGTCGAGTATCTGTGCGTTTCATTATATATAAAGTTATTTACACCATGCGTCGACTCGATCCGTCTGTTTTCTACCTAACACTGGCGGATATAGCCGCAATATTTTATTCAGTCCTCACTCTACCTCTGCGTGTTGGTGGTTTAGGTAGAAAACAGACGGAGCGACTTTCGTCGACTCGACCGTCGAGTCGACGGTCGAAAAAATTGTTCAAACGGGGCGACCACTTTCGTCGAGGAGGCAGTCGCGTGTCGTATCCGCGGTCCCTGGCAACGAGAGCAGGTTTGCTAGTAGTGTTCAATCAAAAAAGCAATGGACCTAGACCTAGATGATGAATATGTAATGCTACTGTACTTGTTTTACCGGAGACGAATGAAGAAAAAAAAAGGGAGGCGTCTCTGGATTCATCCAATTATTTCACAGCGCAAAGAAAAAGGCTTTTTTACTATATTGTGGCTACAGCTAAAACAGGACGAAGAAAAATTTTTCAATTTCACAAGAATGTCCCAGTTTTCTTTTTATGAACTTCTCACTGCTATAGAACAAGAATTAAGAAAAGAAAATACTGTTATGAGGTCTGGGTCTATTTCGTGTGCCATCCCTAAAATCTAAATGAATACAAAATTAAAAAAAAGATATTGTTTCAAAATAAATATCTTTTAATTTGAGAAGATAGCGGAATTTATAAAATCCGTGATCCAACATATTCCATCGTGTGATTCAGTACTTACGTGTGTGAATTTCGAAATAAAATGCGTCTGAATTGATACACTTCAGAACATGGCATGATGTGTCGATGCCGCGTCGAGTGCCGCTGCAAAGTCGCGGGGAAATCATATGTCGACTCGACTTCAAGCGGCGGGGCGCCGCGTCGAGTATCTGTGCGTTTCATTATATATAAAGTTATTTACACCATGCGTCGACTCGATCCGTCTGTTTTCTACCTAACACTGGCGGATATAGCCGCAATATTTTATTCAGTCCTCACCCTACGTCTGCGTGTTGGTGGTTTAATGTCCAATAATGTAAACTGGGTTCGAAATTTAGTCACAAGCTTCCGAATAC